TCCACTCAAGTAGCCCACCCCTCCGGCATGTCCCGCCCTGATTACACATAATTACAGACCAACTTTGGAACTAGGATTTGAGATTTCCTACAAAAGATTTGGATAGAAAAAATAACATTTCTATTTATTAACTTTCACATTAGCTTAACTAAACAATTAAAACAAAGTATCATTCTCTCTCTTATAGCATAAAGCACCTGTTTTGGACACAAAGCCAGAGACTGGGAAAGGCCCAGGCACGAGCAACGTGGTAGAAAGTAGTCCACCACTCAACCAGCAGGCTAAGCCAGACTCTGGCCAAGAGAAGTCGAGCCCTGCTGAAGGGGGTCCCTCTGCGGTCCCGAAGGTGGAGCAGGGCAGGGACAGGATGGCCACAGAGGACAACACCGGGCCAGACAGCGGTGCTGGTGCCACAGGCACCGGGACAGCCGCAGATCCTGGGAGGCCCTGAGGTCTTGGTGGGTTTGCCAAAGTCTACTCTGTACCAACCCCCCTTACTCTTCACTACTGACATCTGGTGTTGACCACGAAGGTGCCAACCTGACACTTTACTGACAATCAGGATGATGTGTGTCTGGAAAGGCTTCCATTTAATTTCATCTTCTCTTTGGTTCGAAGACATGCCACCTTTTTTCCCCTCTGTGTTTCCACGCTGAAGTATCTTCATAAGCGTGCTGAGGGCGGCGATTGTTGCAGCGGATGGTTTGTCCGACACCTCGCTCACGTCCTCATGGTTACGCTGCATACACGGTCAGCGTCTTCTCCCTCGGTGCTCTCCTCTCCCAGGAGGCTGAAGAACTGCTTCCTCAACTTCTCCGTCACACAGGCAGGAGCGGCTCGGTTCCTTGGTCGATTTAGAGCCCTTAACGACCCATCCAGCTCATGTGAATGCGCAACCTCACATAAACTGGGAAACCTAACGGGAGCCGATTCTCCATGCCCAGGAAGTTGTAAAGCCTTCCTGTCCGGGAGCACCCTCTGTGCCATGCCTCCTCGAGTTGACGCCCACCCCGATGAAAAGTGCACCCTGCTAAGGGCGCCGGCTGATCATCCCGCCCCTGTGAACTCTGATGGCCGGCAGCGACCCACCGGGCTTGGCTCTCTCTGCCTCATGCTCGATCCGGTGCTCTGAGCGGGCTGTCTCCGGCCCCTGCCCTGTTAACCATCCCGGATCCCCTGCTCGCTGGGGCTGTGCCGTGGCCAAGGACGCGTACATTGCGCCGACTCCTTTCTCAGCTTGTTTGAGGTGATTTTGTTGTGGCTTCCTGATGCTGCCATACATCACGTCTAGGGCAACTTTAACTGCGATTCGGTATTTCGGGGTGATTCTGAAGTCCGGGCCCCCCATCTTTTGGGCCATGCCTCTGTTGGGCTGGATCCATGGGTGCATCACTAAGTAGTTCGTGCAGCGAAGGGGCATGGTGAGCACGCATATAGTGGCAGCGACCGTCTGCCCAAGGGTGAAGAGCAGAGGACCCCTTACAGGGAGGAAGCAGCGCTCAACGCCCTCAGGCCCTGCCTCCACTGGGGCTCCTGTGGCGTCCCCCGCTGGGCTTCTAAGTGAATTTCTGAAGAGGGTCCCGGAGGACTTGTTGTAAGATGAACTTGGGAGGACCTAGGAGGCCCCTACAAGTGAGGGGACGAGGAGAAGTTTTGTTTCCAAGCCTAGCAAAGAGCCCCCTGCCTAGGGGAAGCCCTGTCACACCTGCTTTGGTGAGCCGAGTCGGATGTGTGTGGGGCTCAGTGTTTGCAAAGTGACTAAGTGTATCCAGAACTAGTCTGTAAAAGGAGGCCGGCATGGCCATGTGGACGCACGCCAGCAGCCTCGAGTCTGCAATGGTCCCCACCTGCCCCTGCCACCCAGTCAGTGTCCTAGCCCCGTTCACTGTCAGTCCCGCCGCGCTCTGGGAGGTCAGGGCAATTCAGTACCATCAGACTTTGAGGAGGGCTTTCATCTTTCCCACCAGGGAGGGACACAGGCTTTCGGGGGCTTACTTGCCTTTCTCTTGAGAACCCCCAGTGACTGCAGCTGGGCATCACTCCCCTTTGCCGGGGTCACGGAACTTCAGGGGTTGATAGTTCCACACACAGGAGGAGACCGAAATAAGGCGAATCGAGAAGGGGACAGAATGTCAAGAATGTTTTTCCAATGTTAAGCAATTTACAAATTTTACATTTAGCTGGAAGCAAATGCCACATGCACTCAGGTGTCTAACTATGTATTCACACTAGAATTATGTTCGGTTGCTTATTAAAATGATACCTGACAGTACAAGTCAACCATTCTCAGGCAGGTGTTTGTTTCAAAGTATGTGCTTTTTGGAACTTTTTCCCTAATGTTTCTACATGAGGTGCCAAGTACCCCTTTGGGCTTCCTTAATGGTTACTTGGGTGCCTGCAGTAACTCAATTTTACATGTTAGCGTTATTTTCCAGCTTAATAAAGCAAACCTCTTCAGTGCTTCATCAGACAGACTTTCATTCTTCCAAAAGCTACGAGCGGACTCAACACCCAGGCAAGTACCAAGTGAATGAAGGCTGTCTGCAGCGGGGCATGGCTGTGTGTACAGTTCAGTGCACGTGAAAGCACTCAAAAAAATCACTGCAGAGAACAGTCCTCTGGGGCAGCATCCGTGCCAGGGACTGAGGCACACACTGAAAGTGGGATCTGATTCGGAAGAGGACTGAATGCTGAAGCTTGTGGGGAGCAGAGCTAAAGCCAGTTCTCCCATTCCCACCTGCTGCAGACCAATGCCAGCTGATCCCCGCCCTTGAATTGAATAGACTTTACCTTGGCATACCTTTATTACAGACAGGCGGGGGGGGGGGGGGGGGGCGGCAGCGCAAGGTCGGGGGATGGACTGACGAGGCCACATGCACTGTTGCTGAATGAGGACTGCAATTCAGAGAACAGACCAAGGCCAGGGCATTGAGGAGCTGATATTTGTCATTTAAAATTAAGGCGTATACTGACAATTTTTTAGGAAAACCAGAATGGGGTGAACAGCATTTACAGCAACTTTTAAATGAAACAATGTTTACAGACTTAATGGCTGTCTACACAAAATAAACACATTTTTATAATTTGGTGTGCTTTTGCTTATTAGATACTCTTAGTAAAAGCCCCTGACACCTGTCTGCAGTTAAAAAAAAGTTTCGTAGGATATATACCGCCCATACACATAATCCAGGTTAATTTAGTATTTTCGTAAGTCAAGGATCTTAGACTTGCCAGGCCCTATTTTGTAGGAGCCTAGGGTAGTATCACCGAAAGGGCTTTGTTGCTTTTACCTTTTTTTTACACAGGCCATTCAGAGAGAAGTGCTTCTCAATCTTATTTGCCCACGTGGATCACCTTGGGGACTTTCAGGAAACACTGACTAATCGACTAACTTATTTTGAGTGTGGGCATTTGCATCTTCCAGTGCATCTTAAGCCACTGTCCCGTCTTTGTTGTGGTCTTTTGCTGCATGAGGCTGATGCGCTTGTGTTTTGTGATGTATCCTACACACTACCTTGAGTCTTGGACATGGAGGGAAGGCCTAATGACAACAAATCGTAGTCTACAGCGCTCATACCAAATACTGGTGAGCGTTCATCTGCCTTCCAGTTAATCTGTGTGGTTAATCACTCTGCTTTAACATTTGCTTGTAGCAGCGGTACTAGACAGACAAAGGCCCCTGGATGGCAGTTGTTAGCACTTAAAAGTTGATGGTTCTTACCCACTCAGTGGCACCAGGGAAGAAAGGCCTGGCAGCCTGCCCCTGTAAGGTCACAGCCACGAGGAGCAGTGCTGCCTGGCAGGTAGCACAGGGGCCGCTGGGAGTCACAGCAACAGGGTCTTTGTTTGGATTATGCAACAGAAGAGACCATACGTGAAGGAGCTTCCATGAACTTTTGAAGCACCCTCTTACATAATTAAACTGTAAAAAAATTTTCTAAATAGCTCAAGACATTCTAAAAGAAATTTATTAAGAATTGTTCTCATACTGGTTCTGATCTAAAATATATTGAATACACAGGTTTTCTTAGAAAAAGAATCTAGGTGTTTTCTTACATTGGTCAAGTACATCATTTTTATTACACAGTACAATTTTCTACTACATCCATGGTTAAGTGAAAAAAAAAGTTAAGATGAAGAAAGACCACAGTGAGAGGGTTAATTCTAGTTGAGGGTTCAATTCGTTTTCTAGTTCATAGAGCCCAGGGAAAAGAATCGTTTACCCAGGGACACAACCCCCAGCAGTAATCAGAAAGGTGAGGCAGCACCTGACATGGCTCCTCGCCTCGGAAGAAGCGCGTCAGAAATGTTGACCCCATCACCACCATCAAAGGTTAAAATATTTACAGCATTCTAAAAACGTCTCAAGCTGTTAACAGTGCTATACATTTCCCTTTCAAGGGAAAAAAAGTAAGATTCAATTCCCAGCAGTGTCTTGAAAGGAAGTATTATTAAGGTTGCCTTAAAAGAAGAATAAAAACCCATAGTTATTAGTGGCTTGATGATTTTTGTTCTGAAGTTTTAGATTGCAACGAAGTATTGCTTTGCAAAAGGTCCTTTAGCCCAAATTCAGCGCCTCTGTTTTGATCTGTTCTTTGTAAAAGTACTCTCTGTTCATCCATTCTTTTTGCCTGAGACCGTAAAATAAGGCTAAAGAAGTCTTCGTCTGGTACTGTTGACCCCTTCGTGACAGCAGGCGGCGGAGCACATCTCTGATCATCCAACCTGGAGCCCTGGAGACGGAGGAGAGGGAGGTGAGCACACACAACTGCAGGGATGGAAGCAAGCACCCAGGTACACTGAGTCTCCAGAACAACAGGCAGCAGTGAGCATCTTTGTGTGTGTGCCACTTCTAGAAATCTGTAGAGACCCGAAACCTCGTAAAAATGTGTAACAAGTACTCAAAGTAGAGCCATCGTTTCATGCGTATTAAGTGGCCCCCACATAACTCAGGACTCTGAAACCAGCAGACCCTGACCTTCAGGGGAGTCCATTCCAGTCTGCCTGCTACCCCTGTTGGCCAGTGCTGACGGCTGCTGGCCGAGGCTGCTGTGTGCTAAGAAGCAGGCATCTTTAGTGAACGGTTTCCACGCAGGTTCTGTAAGCAGTAAAGCAGGGGTCTGTTTGGGGTGTGACTACCCCTCTCCAACTGGTAACTGCCAGTTCCTAGACTAATCTTCCTACAGAAGGTTCCCTATAGTGCAGTCTGGTGGTTGACCTAAAATAGTGGTTCTCAACCTTCCTAATGCTGCAACCCTTTCGTACAGTTCATGTTGTGGTGAGCCCCCAAACATAAAATTATTTTTGCTGCTACTTCAGAACTGTAATTTTGCTACTGTTATGAATCAGGTGCTCCCTGTGAAAGGGTTGTTTGACCCCAAAGGGGTCGCGACCCACAGGTTGAGAACTGCTGGCCTAGCTAGTATGTTCTCTCATATTTTGGAAAGAAAAGTTGAAAAGCCAAGATCTGGAACTTTCTAATCCCAATTAGACCAGAGAGGGAGGCAGGAAGTGGTCAGCAGTCTGCCAGCAAAAGGAGTATAGATAAAAGCACCCCATAATGGGGGAAATGGGGAAAGTTGACACCCTCAAAGGTTCCAATGCTCAATCCCAAATCAGAAGACTGACAAAGAACAAACCGTGGACAAAGGACGGGAAGGCCCATTAAAGGTGGACAAATAAACGATGGAGCAGTAGGGCCGTCAACACTAATAGCTGAAGACAGTAACGAGAATGCAGCCTCCATTGAAGGTAATCAAGCGGCCATCAAGCTCAGAAGCAACAAAGCCCACATGGAAGAAGCACACCAGCCTATGCAACCATGAGGTGTTGAAGGGATCAGGTGTAAGGCATCATCAGAACAAAAAATCTTACCATAGTGAATGATGGGGGGAGTGCGGAGT